ATGAGCAGACAAGTCATTGGAAATAAGGAAGGCGGAAGCCAGTGGAAAAAATGAAAGGGGCCACTCTGGTATGACCTTCGGCTCAGGGGCATGCTAGCCAGGAGGAAGCAGATCGATGAAAGGGGCCACTCTGGTCCCACCTTGGGCTCAGGGGCATGCTCCGTAACCCCAAAGCTTACCTCCCTTTTCAAGGACTCACACACAAAAACGTGAAACAGCGCACCTCAATTGTCCAATAGATCAATTTGGCACATTAGCCAGGAGGAAGCAGACCGTGAGTGTTTTTGACCACAAACCCCATCCCTCCTAATTCACAACCCCATGGACCAGTGCCAGGGAAATGAGCAGACAAGTCATTGGAAATAAGGAAGGCGGAAGCCAGTGGAAAAAATGAAAGGGGCCACTCTGGTATGACCTTCGGCTCAGGGGCATGCTCCGTAACCCCAAAGCTTACCTCCCTTTTCAAGTATTCACACACAAAAATGTGAAACAGCGCGCCTCAATTGTTCAATAGATCAATTTGGCACATTAGCCAGGAGGAAGCAGACCGTGAGTGTTTTTGACCACAAACCCCATCCCTCCTGATTCGCAAACCCATAGACCAGTGACAGGTGCATGAGCAGACAAGTCATTGGAAATAAGGAAGGCGGAAGCCAGTGGAAAAAATGAAAGGGGCCACTCTGGTATGACCTTGGGCTCAGGGGCATGCTCCGTACCCCTAAAGCTTACCTCCCTTTTCATGGACTCACACAAATACGTGAAACAGCGTGCCTCAATCGTACAATAGATCAATTTGTCACATTAGCCAGGAAGAAGCAGATCGACCAAAGGGGCCACTCTGGTATCACCCTTGGGGTCATGGGCCCGCCCCGAAGGGGAAGAAGCATGATGGGAGCACAGGGCCGGGCTGGCCAGTGTGCGTCTGGCAGCTTCCGGTTTGTAAACAGTGCCTTTGTACTGGGCTGGGTGGAGCAGGGTTGTTCCTGCCGTGCCATGACCCATCTCCCATTGCCCCCGGCCAGCCCATCGCTCTGAGGACTCTGCCCCCCATGCCCCATGTCCCCCCTTGGGGACCACAAATATGTTTAGAACCAGGCCCACAAAAAGTTAATCCAGCCCTGTATTAGACGTTGCATGAGCCACGCATAGCGACGGCCTACCCCGCAGGTCCTCAGTACGCGCTCATTACAGGTGTCCCATGTCAGCCATGGGGGCGTACTTTTTGAGTTTGCGGTCTCGGGCGTCACAGAAGGCCGGGGTCCTATTCTCGAACGGGATTGTCACATCGACGAGGATGATCTTTTTCCGATCCTCGTCCACGATGACGATGTCAGGAGGGGGCGAAGTCGGGGCGGGGGGGGGAGAGAGAGTGCCTCCGGAGGGCAAAATTGCTTGTTTGTCCAGTGTCCCGACCGCACATTGGTCAGGACCAGTGCCGTATTATTGCCTAGGGCGGCAAATTTGCAGGGGCGGAAGCTCCCCTCCGCGCCCCACCCACCTGCTCCAGCTCACCTCCACCTCCTCTGCAAGCACGCCGCTGCATCCTGTTTCTCTCCCCTCCCAGCGCTTGCGCCGCGAAACAGCTGTTTTGTGGGGCAGGGAGGGAGTGGGGAGGAGGGGGAACGCCGCGCGCTGGGGGAAGAGTTGGGGCTGGAGAAAAGGGATCCAATAGGGGAAGCGAGGGGTGGAGTTGGGGTGGGGACTTTGGGGAGGGTGTTGGAATGGGGGCGGGAAAACGGCGGCAATTATTTCCCGGCCTAGGGGCGTCAAAATTATTAATCCGCCACTGGTCAGGACACGGGACAAACAAGCAAATATCGGGACAGTCCCGATAAAATCGGGACATTTGGTCACCCTACAGACTGTGTACAAACCATAGCATCATTATATGACAGTGGTGAATAGGGGGCTGGTTTGCGCACACCAGGGCTGACATTGCAATGGAGACGTACCCGCAGAGTCCATCTCTCCCGGGATAAAGATTGCAGCAGGGCTGGCCTGGGTCATGGGACTTGGGCTCCTGGAGCTAAAGCTTTGGGGCTCAAAACTGTGGTGCAGATACATGTGTTCCTGCTGGGTTGGGAAACCCTCCCCCCTTGTGGGTCTCAGTGGCTGGGCTCAAGCTCTATGTCTGCACTGTCATTGTACAGCCCTGCAGCCCCAGCCCCACAAGCCTGAGCCAGCTGCCCCGGGCTTGGAGACAGGTGCCCCTTAATTGCAGTGTAGACATAATGTCAGGGCACGTCTACACGGCGACGAAACCCGCGGCTGGTCCGTGTCTGACGAATCCGGCTTTGCCTCCTTCTGCTCCTTGTTCCCCGGGACGATCTGCCCAGAGAAGCTGCAGCCAGTGGGTCTGGGCAGGTCCCGAGTCTGGGAATCCCCCTTCCCCACCGCTGTCCCATCTACCCCCATCTCCCCCCCTCCCCGGTCCCGTCTCTCCCTCCCACCCGGGCTGGGGGCTCTGAGCTCGTTCCCTCGCAGGCTCCGGCTCAGGGTCTGCCCC